ACTTCCATTCAGAATCACAGTGGCATTTTGAATGCGATTCGGCTTCTATAGACTTGCGGAGCCAATTGACGAACACCACATAATATCCCGTTTTTAGGAACAAAATGTACTTAGATTAGAACAGGCGAAGGCTCCCCGTATAGCAGGGTTTGCTGCCTGATATCTTACCCTTTATAGCTTTAGGTAGGTTTTATCTGGAGCTTTATTAGGAAAGAATAATTTTATTGCTCAATTTCACTCCGATCTGCATAGTCTTCAAACAAGGCCGTTTACCTCCAGAAAATAACCCCATTGTCCGGTGCAGATCACGTTTTTCGAGTACTATTGAGCTGATGGCTAGCTGTTGTATTGAACTATTTCAGATGTGCTCTCGAATGGGAGTACCTGGCGAATGTGATCGATCGTGTGCTGTTGACGATTTTCTTCATCATAACAATGTCGCTTTTCATACTCTTAGTCGGTTTCGACTATCTCTTTACCATTCACAATTAATCCTAGTACCTCGTTGGGTGCAATGCTAGTCGGATGGGCACGCCCTTTTTTCGAGTACGGTAGGCACGAATTGTACGTGTAGACTGGAACTCATCACTGTGACCTAACAAGCATAGATGGACCAAAACTGGGGGAAAGTGACCCTCTCGTTTCCAAAAAGGCTCGGTCCATCGAAATACCATATAAGGTAGGAGCAACAAAGAGATACTGGTTATCAGTTCCCATAGCATCTCATTAGGTCATAGCACTGGATAACAGCCCCCACGTTCATTACCACCCACCGTATTCCAAGATCAGCATGCGCATCCGACTAGCATTGCACCCCTCTTTTTTTCGTGGTTTTTCTCTAGGTCTCAGAGAGTCTTTTTGGCCTCGAATGTTGTCTCATGCTCACTTTTTGGCGAGTATTTGTAATTCTGTGTTGATCTATGTGATCTCATGTTCTGTGGGGATATCTTGCAAGGATCAGAGCCGCTGTCTTCCCATCATAAGCCATTCCACGAGAATAAACACACAAAATGACCCCAAACCAAGTTCAACACAATGTATAAAAAGGTTCCAAACTAGTCTGGGGCGGTATCCTGTCCTCCCCCACCCCCCAACGAATGGGAAAAAAGAGCCCTTCAAATTTTCGTTTCCAGGACACTTTTCCCTTACTTTTCGCACTTGTTTGCTTTTAAGACAAATACATCATGTAGATCATCACTTAGTAATAAAAATGTCAATCGTCAGTGCGATTTTCTGTTGGAATAAACAACCTAAATTTGAAAGAACTTTTTCGTTCCCTTAGCCTAAGGGTATGGATAGCAGGATCTGCCCACTGGAGGGGGGGGGGCTAAAGCGGGTTTTTTGAATGGGTGATCGCGCAGTGTACGCACTGTCCTTTGTGACGCTTATCTCTTCATTCTAGTGGATTCAGATAATCTTTTCACATTTGCCCTTTAGGCCCTACAGAGAGAATGAATTGTTCATCGAATACACTTTAATTCCCTACACCTGGTTGAGGCTCACGGCCATCGATTCTTTAGGCAATCATGTACGTCATAGATTACGCTGCGCACTTCCGTGTTCAAGCGAGCGTTGCGTCTACCTAGCTCCTCTACTTAGTTTTGCAAATAATCATGAATTAGTTACTCCTCCGTCCTCTCCAGCCGAATGCACTGCATCACGGGTGGGGCTCAAGCATGCTGTCGGGAGTTTTGACAATGCCCTCTTTTTCTCTAACGCTGTGGAAAAGTCCCTAATTGGGTACGAACTCACTACTCCCACCATTAGCGTGTGCGCCACTTTTCTGTAGAGCAGAGAGCCGGGTTTTCTTTGCGGAGAGTGTCCATGGATGATTTTGCGCATCTCTTTGGGGCTTTATGCTTCTTCCTAAAGGTCCTTCAATTTTTGGATTTTTCCGATTACATATTCTTACTTTCACGTACAGCCTTCATTGCCGGAGGCTCTAAGAAAGGCTCTTCGTGAGAGCAAAAATATGTATGGTAGTACGAATCTGAGAACACCTGGGGCACAGCATTACGGTCCTTATTGTTGCCAAGCCTATAACGCCTGCCTGTTCAGTCTTTCCAGTACAACTGACGAATTATCTTGTGAATATTCAATTTATGTGAGGTGAATCATGGAATGAGGAGCTTGATTTAATCCGTGTACTTTCCTGAAGATTCAAGAGCTTCAGCCGTTGGACGAGAAAACTGAATGCCTTGCGATTTAGTATTGTTTTTATTGTACCGTATCCTCAATAAACCTCAATTGTAAATGAGTAGAGCAATAAAAAATATCACAAATAATCAGTACAAAGGCTGCCACCATGAAGGCAATAAGGACTTCGCATTGTGAGAACCGTCGTGTTTCACGGCGCGTGAGGTGTTTCAGGAATCTGTATCAGCCAGGAGACTCTTATCGCTACTGTAGGGTTTTTGGTGTTACTGGTGATGAAGGAGGTGTCGTCATCTGGAGCCCTGAATTTCAAATAAAATATCTAGAGGATTTACAACCATGGTAGCCTTTTGTCATCGTGATTTACTAAGTAGAGTTCTCATTGGCGTAGTGTACTTGGTGGCGGTGGGTGGCGGTCGGGACCTCCAAAAACTGCAAGGGAGGTCATGCGCGGTGACGCGTTTTTGCGCCGAATTGGCCTATCGCGTGTGAGTGCGCACATTAGGAGGACTCTTTTACAATCCTGGGCCTCAGGAAAGTCCGGGAAAAAATGTTAAGGAACTGTGTTAAAATGATGAAGGATAAAAGCATTTGCCGTTGATCAATCCCTTTTTGGGATGCGGCACGCATTCTACTTCCATTTGTACATTCGTAGTGGCGTTTGAATGCGATGTGGCCTATACAATGACTTGCGGGGGCCAGCCGATGTACAAGTCAGTGTTTTTATCCTCCCAGACAAGTCTGGTACCAATTAACCGACCCCGGAGGGATGGAAGGCTTGGTTGGCCCGGGCGACTCACGACCCAGGATTTGATCCCCGGACCGCTCGCGTGGTAAGCGAGATGCCACTTGCCACTGCACCATGCCGCCCAGGAATTGTGTTATCAGAGAGAAACTTTAGAGGAAGATTTTCAATATTTCCAAACGGAGGAACTCGTCGAACAGTGGTTGAAACCTCTTCACCCATTCATGCGACACAAAAGATCGAATCCTGCTTAGGCCATCAAAATTTCTCATCTCTGTGATGTCGTTGGTTTTTTAATTTGCCTGTGCGAAGGCACCTCTTTTGAAGGTAGGCGACACGATAAAATGCATGATGAAGGAGGGCAAATGTGTCTACGATGAACGGAATTTAGGCCTCCAAAAGCGAATGGTGGTCCTTTCGCGGGTGAAGGGCGCGTCCGCAGCTGAGCTGTAAGGCCTTATCATTCCCTTTAGACACCTCGGCCCTAGGCCCACTCACCGATTGACTGCCTTGAACTCTCACCGTCGGACTCTTGTTGTTTTAGTGTACAAGCAGAGCAGAGCGTTCAGGTCGATGATTTTAGCACCGATTTGACTCAACCAGAGTGGAACCTGCCGGGATAAATAACGCTCTCGTTTTGCGTTTTTGGGCTGTTTTTCTAGTTTTTTTTTCGCAGCTAAACCTGTTCATTTCGAAGGATACATAGACCAATTTATCGTGCTGCCTGCCTTGAAACCCATCTAGCTATGCTTGTCGGCAAACACGGGGTCAAACGCGTGGCGTAGAATCAAATGCATTGTCCCAGACCCCATCTGGCGTGACCGCCCTAATCATAATGATTGCGGATCGAGAAAAGACTTGAAGTCGGCGCCGTTTTGTCGATCAAACAGTTTCAATCGCGGTCTCTATTTAATCAGCCATCCTAGCCCTTGCGATTGATTTGTTCGCTCTAATTTCTAGATAATCAAATGACTAGTTACTGACTAATTGAAATGGAATTCTCAGAAAAACGAGCCCATAAGGAGGTTTCAGCAGCGTAAAGGAACTAAACAGGGTCCAAAGAAATATAAGAAGCCCAGCTGGGACAGATGGCAAACCATCAGAATTCTTTGCCACTCTAAATTCTTATTTTCTGTGAGTAATATATAATATTAAAGATAGTCGAAAACGCCTATGTACAAAAGTGTAAAAAGTGCAAGCAAGCCATCGGTCTCATTAGCCATCAACTCAAGTAATCTAAACATGCATAACAGTAAGGTAAGGCGGATTGTCTAGGCCACCTGAAAGCAATAGTCCAATAAACTAACATAAAATAAATAAATAAATCCAACTAAATAAAAATAAATAACTTGAGGCGGATGCTGTAAAATGGACTGCCTTGTTCAGTAGGCTTGCACAATAATCCAGAGCCGCGATCAGTGTGAATCTTGAGCGCATTTGGCGCCGTGTGGTCTGTTTCGATTTCAAACAACCAGCGTGGCGATAACACTGTGCATTCTCCAACCTGTCCTTCGGGCGGATGAGGCAGTGACAGGGTTATGCCAAACGAGGCCGGCCGGGGCGCGAAAAACACTCCTCTTCTTCGCCATTATTCAGCAGCTGATTCAGTCATGCTTAACTCCGACCGGGTGTTTTTGCCAAATTATTAAACGCGAACGCTAAACTATCCCTTATCTTCACAACAGCTTTCCGTAGGAATGGCAACTTTTCCTTTGAAGCGTATAGTGTTCGCTTATGCGCCTCATAGGCAGATTCTTTTTTCCCTCTACCTAAATTTGTGATTGTTGGAAAGGGTCATATTAGCTCCACTTAGCATGTATTCCTGGAAGTGAATTTTTTGGAATGTGGGAGTTTTTTGAGTGGAATAATAAGATAAACTTGGGGAAAGATGGGAATTAAGGGCACGAGCGAAACGGAGCTTGAACCCCATCCCTTTAAATAAAAATTCCGAAAGAAATACAAGCAAAAAAATTTGATAAAATTACAAACAATGGTGTTAGGTTCCGAAAAAAGCCTTCAAAGAGAATGGCTCATTCCATACTAAACGAATAATTCCATATGGTTCCATATGGTTCCAAAAAAGTCTATGGTCACTACAGTCCTCTCTGTTATCGATACATTAGGGTATTCCTCCCAGACAACTTTGGTAATTGACAAGACGGAGAGATAGAGGTACGGTCTGTAGTGCGGAAAGTACGACACAGAAACGACTGCGCCGCGACATCCCTCTCTCTGTTCATACAAGAAAACAAAGAGGAAGACAAAAGAGGCCGTGAAAGCTTACGAGAAGACGATTCGAGGCGATTCGCAAGCGGGTTTTGTTGGCGAACTCGACGTTGATGGAATCAGATACTGCCGAAATCCATCGCTCACGGCGCTCTGAGAGCTCAGCTGACGAGCCGTTCTCGTGCTGAAATCCACTTGATGAAACTGACGGCTAATCAGTTACTCACTATCACAAAATTCAAGATGGTAGAGCATTACGGGTTTTCGCAACGAAAAATTGCAAATTTCATCAATTTTATATATTTCAAATTTGAGCTTACCCAAGTTTTTTTCAAGATTTGCCCCGTACGACTCCGTGAAAGAATCAAGAAGCTCTTGAAAAAAGATATGTTTATTAATGTTTTCAAAAACCGACCTCTTTATGAAATCGCGACTAATGGTGTCCCGTGGAATGTCATAGCCAATTGGCACCGCCTTCTCGGGTGTGGAAGGTGCTGGGATTTCCATATTAATATTCATCGCTGCTAAATTCAAATATAAACTGGAAGTTAAAAAAGTGGAGCCACAATAATCAAATGGTATTCAATATCAAATGATATTTGGAATCAAAGCGAAAAGTCACTGGAAATAAGGAGTATGAAAATGAGTAGAGGTAAACGGACGACTGAGTTGTCTAACATTCCCACGCTTGAAGTGAAAAGCTAACAAATCGGCTTAGGGTTCCCCGGGAGTGTGGGATCAGTAACTGTTGGTGAGCGCTTATTGACTTGATTTCAATGGTTGTCCAATGTTTCTTATGTTTTAAGATCGATCTCTGGTAGAACAATATTTTGAAGGAAAATCGAGGTACAAAATATAATCCACTTTATCTTGAAAATGTATGCTGCTCGTGGGAAGCAGGCTGAAGACAAGCAATTCAATCAATAATGTTTCAATGGCCATTTTTTCACTGATGCTGGCAAAATGAGGAGGGTATCATTCATGCGAACAAGATTCAAAAGTCCGCTGAAATAAATCGAAATAGACGCTGAATAAGTTTGCTTAGGAACAGAGCACCGCCACAGCATACGCGTGAAAGGCGATTCAGGTTAAAGGAATCTTGCGCGGAAAATTCTTGCACTCTTTCCTAACATGAATATGTCAGTTGTGATCACTGGAAATAGCACACAAAGTTTCACGCATGAAGATTCGGTTTCTGAAGAGAAACAAACGTACAAAAACTACACGTTATGGACCATCGAAGGACCAGGAGGCAGAGCCAGGCGAGGCATGGAAAGAAGACGGCGTTTGGCCGGCTACGTACCAGGCGACGCAATGAGAGAATCGGGTTAAAGCGCGCGATTTCGGAGAGTGGAGACAAATCGATCGATGGAATAGGATGGAGTAGAAGTGTAAGATGTGAATGCAACGAAGCAGAAGGCCAGAAAGAGCTTCTAGTGAATGCACTCCAAGAACCAAGTTTGAGCATCCCCGTCGCCAGCATTCGTGAAAGACGTCCGTGGGCAATTCGAAACGCGTAGCAGCCTTTTCGAGTTTTCGAATTTCTAATCAAAACGAAAGCAATACTTCAGTTCTTTTCACTATTATCGTGGATAATGAGTCTCAAGCCAGTGATTTATGGCTGAAATAGAATCATGATTTTTCCGCGCAAGATTCCTTTAAGGAGGAAAATCTGAGAAGGTTGTGTGGCTAGTGGTAGGTAGTAAGACGATTTTTGCAGCTTTTTGCCACCAAATTTTAGTAGAGGCTCATTCACTAGATACCCGTAGTTTTGCTAAGATTGTCTTCTATAAAGGGCCAAACCGTTAGATAGTTAGTAAATCATCTCTACCTAAAAAGCGCGCTGATACAAGAAAAGCATTGAAAGCAACATCCATTAGAGGCTTAGTAAGGTGCTGGAAACGACTGACCATTTGACTGAGTGATTAGCCCCATTCCACAGCCAGGCTGTTTCGAGATTAGATGTCGAAAAAGGATAAAATCATGTGGAAGTAAGGTGGAGGCGGGGTGAGAAACTTTAGGGACTTGGCCTCTTTAAACTAGAAATATTTCAGTATTGAGATCACGCGGGCAGTGTCCGGTCTGCGGGATTTGAGTTGTGAACGTCTTTTAACCCACCTGAATTGATCTGCGAAGGACAGTTTGAAAGATCGTGAGAAGACAAAAATAGTCGAACAAACCGAGTTGGCTGTCCCCGCATGGCGTGCCGGGAACAGGATAGAAATTTGACTCCTAGTCCAGCTGAGACGAAATGTAGCCATTTCCTTAGAACCGTCACAATTTCGAGACGGGAGGTGACAAACCCCGCAATCAAAAACAGCTTCGACTACCAAGACCATACCCTAAAAACCTCAAATATGATCCTCTCATCGAAAATTCACAACTATGATCTCGTCCATTGGGATGGCCCTAACGGACGATTCGCTTCAGGCAGCCTTTTAAGCAAGAAGCGTGAGATGCTTCCAATTGCGGCCTACTCAGGCGGAAAACATTAGCGATAATATGAGTGTGTGCAGTGCCAAGGCCAAACGGATTAGGCTAGGCGTAATTCAAGGCAATCCTCAATGGAATGTCATGCTTTGCTCGCTAAAAAATGGTGGTCTTATGCACAGAGACCGGCTAGACGTGCATTAGAGAGGAATTGAAAAGATTCTCGTTGGGATTTGGAGAAATAATCGTTTATCTCTCACAAGGATGCTGATTAGGCAATACCAGAAAGTGGCCTGACAAGTATGCTGGGTTGTGAACAAAACTTTCGCCCCAGACGGGACTCGAACCCGACTCGATCGCTTTCCCCAGGAAAGGCGTTAAAGTCTTGTGAAAGATCGCAAGGCGAACTGCGCCGCTAAAACAGCAGTTAACAAATAAAAACCAGAATGTCGTTTTCATCAGCCTAATTTCGATTCATGTTCCAGAAGCGCCAAGCTCGGGGTTGGAACCACCAAGCTCGGATTTGGAATGTTGGTGGAGTTAGTGTTTCTCCCTCTACCAAGCAATTCTGTGATAACCTTCGCATCTTGAATTTAGGGAAAACAACTGTGAGCAAAAAACAGAGTAAATCGTAAACTACTTTGTATATCTCCAGTGGACTGATTTTCAGGCAATTGGTTGGTATGAAACGGTGAAGAAGAAGAGGAAGGTAAGTGATGTCGGATAGGTGACTGATGCGGGATGGGATAAACTCGCTCGAGAGGTCTAGTTGTAACAACTAATTCCGTCTGAGTTACGCCAGGGCTCACTCTGATCGAGTCTTATGTTCTTTTTAGATGGCTTCACCTTTATCGATCTTTTCTTGAAAGGACAAACAATGGTTCAGATTTCTGAGGGTCACCACAAACTACCCCTTCAGAATCATCCAAGATTCAATTGTGAATAATAAAAGCCAAATGATTTGTGTAAAAACAGTCGCGACATAACAGTGGTAATAAAACTGAGGAGTACACATTGAATGGTGTGTATATTTCAGGGTAAGCCCCGAATATCACCGTTCTTCGTGTAGACTACTTTATTGGGTTGGAACATAATATCGTAACGTTTTTTTCACCTATGAATTCAATCAATGCAAGAATTTCCAAGAAAACTGCGTATATCACTTCAAAGTACTCCAAGTTCTCTCTTCATAGAACCTCGGCATCGTTGTTGAATTCTGTGTTTTTCTTCTGCCAACGAGGTTTTTAGGTGACAAATTTATTAGCGGCCTGACGTTTCGACCCGATCGTCTTCCTCAAAGGCCTAAACGTGGCTCAAAGTTTGAGAAATGCCATCTACTACACCGCCAAACGCCTCTTCTCCTTCGTTATGCGTTTCTGACGGAACGTTAGGGATACCGACCCGGAAACCGCGAACGAGGGAAATAAACTCACCAGTCTGCCACCGCAAGAGCGGAATGATGCCGCTCCAAATAGTAATGGTCAGTAAATGAGACGTACTGTAGGTCTCATTGTTTACGACAGTAGCTGGCAATATGGTGCAAACGACAATAGAT